TTCTTTTAGATGCTGTCTCATTCCCTTTAGAAGCCTTTTGGAGACGTGCCACCTTGGGTCAGCTTAGCACTCACTTCCATCTCTACAAGAAACCTCACTCAGGGTACCCAGAGTGCTCACAGGAAGGTAAGCCCCCATGAGCCCTCCACTTGCTCCAGACCTCCTAATTCCCTTTCTTATTGAGCAAGGGTGGATGGAGATTTCTCGTGATCTTCATGTGGATTTTTCCTTGTTAACAGAAGAATAAAGGACAGAGGTATGCTTGGATTCAGGAAAGACAGTTTTCCACCCTTTGAGACTGAAAAAATGAAGGACAAAGCTGGAAAACAGGGGGCATATCAGAAGGGAACTGACTGGGGAAATGAAGAGAGTATGGGGAGAGCCGAGGAGATTATTTAGGCTGATCTGAGCAGAGAAATCAATGAAATTGATTTTTACAGAATCTTCTACCTAGAGTTAACCTAGAGATGATGCCGTACAGCCTTTTATGTTACAGAGGGAAAATGAATACATATTAGATGATTGGTAGAAAGATGATAGATAGATGAATGGATAGATAGATAGATAGATAGAAAGATAAATAGACAGATAAAGGCACATGCATATATATTCATATATGTATTCATATATACATGGCAAAGATCTTGGAAGGCAGCAGAGGTTGGCAGAAAAATAACATGTTCTCCATTCAGAACAAACTAGTGACCTAAAACAAGTTAACTATTTTTAGCCTCACTTTTCTCATTTATAAAATTATTACCTATCTTCAAGAATTTTTGTAAAGTTAAAGTGGAGTAACATATAATGGAGTTAAATGGAGTAATATTCTTGACAAAATGTTTATATCCAAGTGAAGATTAGCTTAGTATTTTATTTTCTTTCCTTCCTTCCTACCTACCTTCCATCTATCTTTTTTTCCTTTATTCAAGATCTCAGTGCTAGTTAGCAGTAGAAACTTGTTTATAACACAAACATCTGAACTCCACCTCCAGAACTCTCTTTTTTCAGTGTGCTGAATTGTCCTTATATACCAAGAGAATGGGGGGTGGGGGGAAAGGAAGGTGGGAGGTTCTGCACGTTATTGTGGAGAGAAGGAATTGCTTAGGGCAGGTTGGACCAGAGGACCTGGGGTAAACTGCACCTCGTATGGATAGGCAGAGTGGGAGATGATTGGAGAAGTGAGAACTGGACAAATTTGACCAGGATGGAGAGATGTGGTTGCTATTCCAAGCAAGAGTGATCTCTGTCATTGTGCTGCGCTGCTATGATTTTAAATCCAGATTTAGCTTAACTTAATGATAAACTGGAAAATTTATTTGTGAGGTCATTTCCTAAGGTGGCAAGGGCTTCTCAAAAATACCCTCTGCCTTCTCCCCAGAATAAATAACCTATATCAACAAATGGCATCTCCCAGGGGTGGCAAAAGTTGGGGTATTCCTGATGAATTCTCTTGCTGCTTTTGTTCAGATTAGTTGGCTTAAAGTCAGCTCCACCATTTAATACCTATGCAAATCAAAGTCACTCAGTCTCCCTCTTTCAGAGGAGTAGAGTAGAGCATTTAAGAACATTTACTGGCTTTGATACCAGACTAGCTGGGTTTCTATCCTGGCTCTGTTCCACCCACCAGCTTCATAACCTTAGACAAGTTACCTTGCCCTTATGTGCCTCAGTTTTCTCTCTGTAGGATGGGGATTATAAGAGTACCTACTTCATAGGACTGAGAAATAAATAAAATAATACATGTAAAATGCCTAGAACAGGTTTGGTATATAGTAAAATCTAATTAAGTATTAGTTATTATTATAACAATCAAAAGTATTTTAAGAACATTTCTAACAAACTGAAATATAACATCTCAGATTATTTCAAAGTTTATAATAATATATAATAAAAATGAATAAATACAAAATTAGTTATTGTTATTATTACCTACCTTATAGGATTGTTGTAAAGACTAAATGAGATGATACCTAAAAGTCACTTAGATAGAAAGTGCTTGATAAATGTTACCCGTCACTGGGTGGCCTCTGATTCTACCACATCCAGGAAACACTCTCTTATTACTTCCATAACTAACTTCAAATGCTACGTTTTGCTGGGCCTCCCCAGAACTCAGGGAGAGATTGTGTACATAGGGGACAAACTCATAAAAGAAGAAATTTGTCTTTTCTAACTATGGAACAGGAAGGGATGAGACAGGGATTATTGCCTATTTGCTTGTTACAGAAAGAAGAAAAGAAGGACTGAGATAAATCCTAGGCTCTTGCACCCACATTAATAACTGTGCTTCAGATTTCTGGCTTCTTTCCTCACCGCCAACCTCCCTGACCTCTCAACAAGATGCACCCTCCCTCCCACCCCCGAAAATTCACCCGTAACTTCAGGAAAAAAAACTGGAGTGTTATGTGTGGGATGATTTTTTTCTTTGCTAGCAAAGTTCACAAAAATCTTTTTAAAATACTTTTTTTATACAGAGGAGCTGAAAATATGTTATTTTTTCCTCTATCTTGTATGTTAGTGAATGGAAGAATTTCCTTTTTTCAGCAAGCCTTCTTCCTTTATTAAGGAAATTTGTCCATCTGCCCTTCTTAATTTGCTGATATTGGTGAAATCTAAAATCACCTTACCTACATGTCCTGTCTCCTTCATGAGACTGGAACATCTTCCATTCAGTGTCCTGTTTCCTAAACCCAGAGAGCTCTGTCTTCCTAGTTTCACAACTCCTCTCCACAGTTCATCTGAAGCTCTTATCCCAGTCAGGCAGCCTGTCTGTCTCTCTGAGAACTCCACAATCGGAAGTCTCCCTACCCAACTAGACTGTGATCTCTGTGAAGGCAAGAATACAGTTTCTCCTATGTTGCTTCTGCAGCACCCTAGTTAGGAAAGCTGTATTTGATGGAGAAACCATGATCCCTGCTCTACCTCCAGCATTCTGGAGCAAGGAGAGGGGATGTCTCCAAGGGATGTGCATCTCCTGTTTAGGGCAAAGCAGTTAATGCCACTCTGCCCTGTACCTGAATGCAGCCCTCGATAGAGCTAAAGTTTTCCCAAGCCTGGGACTGTGATAAAAAACATAACCTGAATGTACAACATTTGTGGGGCCAGTAACCAGCTTCCTTCTGGGAGGATTGGTGGTGGTCTCAGCTGGGAGGTAGATTCTGGAAGGAAGGCACAGCCTATGACAGACTGGCACTTGTCTTTTTCCTACTGAGGGTTAGCATTGGCCCAAGAGAGTTTGAGCCCAACAAACAGCCAACAGTTTTTGCAGAGTAGGTTGGGATGGGAGTATGGGGCGTAGTGTAGTCTTCTTTAGTAACTTATTAGCATAATCTACATTCTTTGTCATGTGTTCTACATTTTGGGTGGCTCTCAGTATGACTTTGAATAAGCTAGCTCTCTTAATGGTTCAGTTCCCTGTCCCTTTCCCTCTGTGCAAGTACTAGAATAGTGTAGGTTATCAATTGTTTATGACATCCCTCTTTCAGAAAAGATCAATTAAAGGCTGGGGTGCATAAGGAGGAAATTCTTAAGGAGATGAGACAATAACCCAGAATTGATCCTTGAAAGATGAAGTTTTGATGTGTGGATGGGAAAAGTCTTCTAGACAGGAAAGAACACTGGCACATAGAGAGAGAGTGGAAATAGTCCAGAAGAAAGGGACCCTGAAGATATCTTTCCAGAGCCACCTGTCCCAGTCACACCAGAAGGACTTTTGTCTTCCTGAGTTCACTCTTCAATTGTCCAGGAACCCATAGGAATATCATAACTGCTACCACACATGATAGGGTGGGAGCCAGCTAAACGTTCCCTGGGACTTTTCTCTTGGAAAACTCTGAATCTCTTCACCATACACACACACACATGCACACACACACACACACACGCATGCTCACACATACACATACACGTGCATACACAAAGATCTGTCTTCCCATATCATTTTACTACCAACTACATCTTTCCAGATGCTCAGACCAAGCATCTTAGAGTCATCCTTGCACATTCTCTTTCTCTCACATCTGGCACCCCGTCTGTTACTTCTACCACTAAAATATATCCAGGGGGCTGTAACATTCAACAAATTATTATTGAATGAAAGGATGAATGGATGGGATCTTGACTTCTTTGAATAGGTGTAGTGATGCTAATACTTAAAGCCTTAGCAACACCATTCTTCTCCTTATCATATACAATGCGACTTAAAAGCCTCAAAAGTAACACATGTCTAAATTCTTTAAGAGGCAATATATGTTAAAATATGGACTTGGGAGTCAGACAGTCCCACGTTTGAGACCTAGCTGTCAAGAGTATGACCTTGGGCTCCTTGGTCAACCCTTCTAATCCTCAATGTGTTGATTACATAGAGATAGTAGTAGCTATTCCATAGATTTGTGTGAAAATTAAATGAGAAAATAAATATGATGTGTTTAATACAATACTCCTAATATATATTTTAAAAATGTTGTTAGTATTTTTCTCAAATTGCCTTCATGTCTGCAATTTTTAACTTCTCTGTATTTCTGCACTTGGGTCTGCTCCTTTCTCTTCTCTTTCTGCAATCTCTTTCAAATCTCTTTTGATCCTGTCCTCCTATTCTTTTCCTTTGGGCTGTTACTCACTCTGTATTGTACTTTCTAGGGCCTCACATGTTCATTTAGTCATTGAACTAGCCAGAGATGTTCTTTAGTCATGGTACACTGATTTAACCATAATAGTTGTTAATATACTGAAACACTTCCACACCATGTTAATTAATAACCACTCACCCAAGTCCCCAGAAGAGTTCTCTAAGTCCCTGCCTCTTACTTGGGATCCCCTAGATCTTTCCCTGAACTAGCATGTAAATGTTAATGTATGGCACAGTGAGAGCCTCCAGGAACCCAGCCAAGTTTTAGGCTAGTATCCAATCGAATAAGTAGGTGTCCATGCCATGCCACTCTAGCATCCAGTAGACATAGATTATGTGCTTATATGTGTCAGTCTCTCCCTTTTGACAGATCATGATCGATACCTGGCTATCTGTCAACCTTTTACTTACAGCACTCGCATGAGCTGTGAAGTCCAGGGTGCCCTGGTGGGCATTTGCTGCACTGCATCCTTCATCAATGCTCTGACTACACTGTGGCTGTGTCTGTGTTTGACTTCTGCGGCCCGAATGTAGTCAACCACTTCTACTGTGACCTGCCACCTCTTTTCCAGCTCTCTTGCTCCAGCATCCACCTCAATGGGCAGCTGCTTTTTGTGGGGGCCACCTTCATGGGGGTGATCCCCATAATCCTTATCTCAGTGTCCTATGCCCACGTCGCTGCTGCAGTATTACGAATCCACTCAGCTGAAGGGAGGAAGAAGGCATTCTCCACGTGTGGCTCCCACCTCACTGTGGTCTGTATCTTTTATGGAAATGGCTTCTTCAGTTACATGCGCCTGGGTTCAGTTTCAGCCTCAGACAAAAACAAGGGGATTGGAATCCTCAATAGTATCCTCAGTCCCATGCTGAACCCAGTTATTTACAGCCTCCGGAACCCTGATGTGCAGGGTGCCCTGAAGAGGGTGCTGACAGGGAAGAGGTCTCCAGCATGAGAAGATAGGGCATCAAAATATCCCTCCCTCCTCGATCATCACCCTAACTTTCTTATGCTAAAGGCCTAGGTATGGGCAGGGCAAATCTTCAGGATTGTGTCGAGGGGAAAGTAGATAGTATTGGTCAAGGTAGAATATGGTTTGCCTTGGATTGGAGAGAAAGACTAAAGCTTAGGTAGTGCAGTATCTAAGTTACTGATAAAAAAAGAATTAAAGAGAGCTGGGAGAAAATTATGATATGGGCCAGAAAGTGGGAGACAAACTATTTTATATTTTTGTATTTAACAACTGCTCAATTGAAATATATTTAAAATGCTAATAAAAACAAAGTGTTGATACCCTTTTTAGATAAAATACATTTGTATCAGAGTATGGGGGCTGGTTTTTTAAAGATCCTACTTTAAAAAATAAGTCTAGCATTGTGAAGTTAAGTTGGATCTGTCATACCCTGGGAACAGGGTGTTGGTACCTGCCAGAGCACCCTGCCAGCACTTAGTTCAGAGTCACATCATCAAATACCTGTTCCCAAAACCAGTGCCTTCCTCCTGACTGAAACATCAGTAGGAACAACATGTACATGTCAGTGCATGAGCTGTTCTTACAACTCCTCCACCAGAAACATAAGACTGTATAATCATACGTTTCATGAAAAGAAGCATGAAGGAGTAGTAAGCTTTATTTTCATTTTTCATGGCAAAATACACTGATTAATTTGGGGCATTCTGTTGAATATATATATACAGATACTTAATAAAGGTCCGGGGAGACTGGTAAGGAAGGGAAACTAGAGGGGGCCATTGCAATTTATCAGTAAGTACTAGGACCCAAGATTTTACCAATAGGGTAAAACTATAGCAATCCAGAGAGGAATGACCAATAGAATGAGGGTCTATTTCATGTGCTACAGTGGCCATTTCCAGAATGTATTCTGTGAACTACGTCAGGCCCTTCATGGTCAAGAAGTTGGAAATCTAAGACTGACCTGACCTAACATGCTTATTAATGATTCAAGGAGCACAGCAGGGGACCCTTAAAGTGCCTGAGAATGTTTCTCAAACAGAGGCATTCGCCAGTCATTATTCAAATCCACACTCATTCTCCAGGTCTTGCCGAACATTCTGTGGAACCCTCTTACACCCACACTTTTGTCCTCTTGAAAAGAACTGCGACCAGGCAGGCCCCATGCCATCCCATTAGGGATCCTGCAGCAGTCTCTGAGTCCTGGACTCCTCCCCAACTCAGAGCTGTCTACACTGCCCCTTTAATCCCCCGGAACAACATCTGTCCAAGTGATTTCATCCTCCAAAAGTTATCAATTTCCTTCTGATCACCACCATATCAAATCCAGACCTTTGTCAAGCATGCAAGGGCCTCCACAATTCCTTCTGGCCTCTCCACTCAATCTTCATCTCTCAACCACAGCTGCTCACTGTGGTGACTCATGGATTCCTTTGTTTGTGTTCATTGTTCTTGACCTTGAGTGTGACCTGCACAGCACAGCACCATCATAATCTTTTCTGTATTTCCTGCAACTTATTTTGTTCTCCCCAGTTAGATTTTTTAAGGACAGTATTCATGTCTTATATTATACTGTGTCCTCCAAACACCCAGCAGAGTGCTGACTACATAACTGATGTTCAAGCAATCTTGTGGATTGATAATAGAAAACGTGACCTATGAGAAGAAAAATTTGTCATCTACATAGGAAACTGTTAGATGTTTTCAAAGTATCCTAAATTGCTCAATGTTAGGATGGTATAAAGATAGAAAACTGAGTTGTTTAAAAACAAAAACTTCCTTCTAAGGACAATTCAAGGGCAATCATTGAATTCGACATAATAGGAAGAAACTTTCCTGACTTTTGTGTGAACTGCAATATCATTTAACGTCAGAAATTAAAAAAATAATGCCTGAAGCTTGAAACAAAGAGTTGTCTTCTTGCAAAAAAATTAGAAAGAGGACATTTAATCGGCAACAGTTGATCATAAAGCCCCCAGAATAGGAATTCCTGTAACATCCAAAGGCTGGGAACACATTACAGAGAGGTGAGATAAAAATAAATGAATAATCAGAGGTTATGCCAAAGTGTGTGTCTTTTTTTAATTCATGTGTTAAAGTGAAAAGTTTTTAACTCTGCCATGCAAGCAAAAATAGCTCATGTTTTGTGTAAACAATTTTAATTAAAAGCATATTTTTGCTTATAAAGCAGAGAGACTATATCAACATGAAAAGGTGTATAGCACATGTTGCTACATTTAAAAAGTGATGAGAAGGTGACATGTGTATGGGCTGTAAAAAGCCCTGGAGGAAACCCCCCAGGCTATACATGTTGACTCTCTCTGCAGAGGGTAATAGGACTGGAGAAGGCAGTGGGAAAGTGACAAGGAATTTCAGCTTTCACTCCATTTACTCTGGTATTATTTGAAAATTTTCACTGAGTTCTGGTAATTTTAAAAAGCAAAATAATTTTTTTTGTAATGGTAAAAATGCAGGGGATGGAGTAAAGTGAGTTGACAGTGCTTTCTTTCCAACTTTCAAAGGGTCCTCTGTGATCCTTATCTTTGAGAAAACTAGTAAGTTGCTCCATCCATCTAATGCAAAGCCACCATGTTCACTTGATCAAGACTGGAAGAGACATGAAGTAATCACCAGTCATCTTACCCATCTTCTGAGTTAAAAGCCAAACCAAATCATTCCTATCCTTAAGAGAATATTCCTAGAGGACTTTCTTGTCTTCTTCCTGTCTCCTGGTTCTGAAGATTAAAATTTCATCCTGTCACTTCACACTTCTTGTGAAACTCTCCTGTCATGGTAGAACTGACAGGAACACTTGGCATTCACATCAGAAAATTCTACTAAAAAATTAACAAAATAAAAGCTTTTATGAATCAGAAAATACCTCTTCTCCTCCTCTCCCTCCACCCCCACCCTGACCAAATGCAATCATTTAAAGTTCTCTATGATAGACTTTTTTATGTTAAGTCCAAATTTGGGTTTATTATTTCTTTTTTTTTTTTTTGAGTTGGAGTCTCACTTTGTTGCCCAGGCTGGAGTTCAGTGGTACACTCATAGCCACCCCAGCATCAACTTGCTGGGCTCTGGTGATCCTTCCGCCTCAGCCTTCCAAGTAGCTGGAACTACAGGCATGCACTGCCATGCCTGGCTAATTTTTAAAAATGTATTTATTATAAAGACAAGGTCCCACCAAGTTGCCCGGGCTGGTCTTGAATCCACAGACTCAGGTAATCCACTTGCCTCAGCCTCCCAAAGTGCTGGGATTGCAGGTTGAGCCACCGAGCCCGGCCCAAAATTTTGATCTTCAGGGAGAATTTGAGATTATGTGACCACCCCTACATTTTTTTTTTTTACAAATCAAAAACTCAGTTCTAATGATATATAGGTTACTGTATTTTCATAATTGCACTCTTACAGCAATTCTTGCTAAACATCTTAGAATTTACTGTATGTGACATTATTCTGGATAATAAATTTCTGGCACTCATATACACAAATTCTAAATTCCTTTTTAAGGCTCTGTGACTCTGGATTACATAACAGGTAAATGTTTAAATATTGGAAACAGAATAAAATCCTAACTCATACATTTATAAGTTGAATTAAAATTTTAATAAAATTTCTATGTAAAACTTCTAAAAAAATTTCATCCTCCATTCCATACCAACCCTCATCCTTCACCATCATCAACATTTCCTCCTCACAGCACCCCTCTTTTGTTGCCTAGTTTTGAATGTTTTTATGCAATTCCAGTCAAAGATAGCAACTAACCTTGGTTGGGATGGAGTATGATCTATGTGGCTATGGAATCATGAACTCCTGACATTAAAAGGAACTCTTAGGAATATTTGAGTCCAGCCATCCTAACTTCAGATAGCTCATATCCAGGGAAACATGTTTCAGATACTATCAGCCCTCAACAAAACTGTGCAGTTTTTAGGACATCCATAAGCCATCTATCAAGTTCAGCAGATGTCATTTTATACAGCATGGGCATCTACCTATGTCTACTTAGAGATGGTCTTACATACAGCTCAATAATATTTCCTTCCTCTACACCCGCTCTACTCTCTAGAGCCTTACCATGTGTCCAACCCAGAAAAAGGTGCTATCAGGACTTAGGAGAATTATAACAGCAATATGTTTTCTCTTAATTTTCTGTTAGCACATAACAATATTTACAAAACACTTTAAAACTCATGCTTTCATTTGGATTTTGCAACAATACCATTGAATGTAACCTACGGGGACAACCAGGACCCAAATTAGAGCATAAGAAGGCCAGTTTTTAATATCCTCCCTTCACAGATAAAAAAGGCAGGGAGACCAGGTTAAGTGATTTGCCAGAAGCCATAGAATTAGAAGACAGAGAAGCCTCCCAGTGCTGACTCCTACCCCAGTGTCTTTGCCTCTACTGAATCAGCAAATAAGTCAAACCAAGCAGAATGAGTCTCAGAAATGTGAAGAACAGGGCAGTTGAATGAAGAGAGCCTTAAGCAGGATATATGGAGACCCAGGTTATAATGCAACCTCTGTTACTTTAGTTTACAGATATTTTTAGATCTTGATTATTTGCAAAATTAGTCCCTTCCAAGTATCTTGGGATTATTTTCATTCATCTACTACATGGTAAATACTCAAACCCATACAGGATGCCAAAGGCTGGAGGAATTAAGGAACTAAGGGCAATTAAATAAACAGGCAATAAGGCTGAGCACAGGTGCATACACCCGAGAACAGTTCATTCACAATGGCTCTCTGATGGGCAGAAGTTGATTCTTGAGCTTCAGAAACTGGAGAGATGCCCAAGTTGGAGGTGGTAGCAGCAGGCTGGTCACAAATATGAAAACCTGAGAGGTAGTAATAATTGAAACAGAAAGAAGTGAGCTTGGGAAGGAGTCTTGGAATATCAGTAAGAAAACATTTAACCTTGTTTTTATAATTTATGTTGATAAGATCTGTGAAGATAAACATATCAGGGCTCT